ATTAAAATAGAGCAAGATCAATTTATAGCTCTCAAAGGCTGCTTATGACTTGGGAACAGATCCAGGGAACAGTCTTACCTCAAGCTATATCAAAATGGATTGCAGACTTTGAGTGGAATGTAAGTTAGACTTATTTTATTATATGATATTAGAGCTCAAGTTGCATATGTCTTAGAGTTCCAGTGTTAGAGATCAGTAAGGGCTGTATGGCTTTATGTATGGTTGCTTTAAATAGATGTTCTACTAGCAAAGCTAGTTTGTTAATTATTGTTTAGTATAAATCATATTTCTTGCTGCTAATCCAAGTTGAGAGTTGTGGAAAATATTCCAACGTGTTTTAAACTCACAAGGCATAAACACACAGATAAATTTGCCATGTGTTAGCTGGGCTGCAGTAGCTATGCATGCTTTCATCGTGTGGCAAATGTGAAGTAATGTGATAAGACCTGTCATGAAAGAGTGTCACCTAAACTTGCTTTACTTCATGTATGATATAATGATAAGAATATATGTGTGTCTAATAAAAGTTCAACTGTGATGTGACAACTTGACTGTTACTGATATCCATCACAAATAATTTTGTGGTAACATTTGAATCTGAGACTTCTTCCTCTTTCCTGCAACTGTATTCCATCAAGACATCCAAATGATTCTGCCTCTTAATCTCTTAGAATGAGGAGCATGGAGATGTTTGAAGCTGCTTGTCAGTTTTAGTCAAAGTATTGTTTGATTTGTGGGGACAAAAGCAATTTGTTTTTAAAGAAATTCTCAAACTCCATTCATCTGAACTCTTCTCAGGGACTTAAGAGGAAGACACCAAGGAAAAAAGTCTATTCAAAGGAAATTACATGCTGATGTACCTTAAAGCAAGACTTTTGGGGGGAAATGCTGTAGTGTTTACTTTATTGTTTGAATGTTTATTACAGTTTTGGTATTTATCAAGTACATTCTCAATATAATTTTACAGCTTTGTTTCCAAAGTAGCATGTACTTACTTTATCTACTTCACGTTGCTTTAATTCTATAGTGACAGGGGCATCTAATGCTTACAGTGGCCTATATCTTGCAGTTGGATCCACTCAAATGGAGCTGTAATTAAAGCATGGGTTTTTTTAATATGCTTGGGATTTTTTTCTGTAGCAGGTTAATGAATGCTATAAATTAGGCCTTACTTTGTGCTACTTTGTGTTAAAAATTATATTTTAGAGTTACTTTTTGTAAACTCTCTATGATCTTCAGAAAAAATGGTACTGTTAATGGAAATTTCTCAATCCTTCCTTTAGAACAGTCTTGGGTTTGCCAACTTTGTCCATACGTGTTTCAGTCCAACTTGATCTATTGTTTAACTAACACAAAATGTGGCAATCCTCAGCAAAACAGTAGGTTGTCTGCCTGTTTTAATAAATCCCACGCACCTGATGTGTGGAATTGACGATTTTTTTCCCTCTAGGGGGAGATCAGTCTAACAGATAATCTTAATCTTTGTCTTCAAGGAAAATAATTATAAAATTAGATTTATTTGTGACACTCAAATGTGTGTTGCAGTGGATGCATATGTGCTTGAGGTTAAACAGTGTGTTCAGAAGGGCATATGCATTTTTTCAATGCATGAAGGTAAAAGAACAGTCTATCTTTTGTGAAACTTGCCTGCTTTGACTCAAAATAGAATGCCTCTGCTACTTTAAAATTCAAAGACCTGATCAGCAAAAACTTTGTCCTATTTCTTTTAGTTCAGCTTTTTTTAGATGTAATTTCAAAAGTTCATGCTTTTGCCAAAAAAAGACTTGCCTTCAAATACACAGTCATAAAGGCTTGAAGTATTGTCCTTAGTCCAATGGATAATGCCAGCCAAGGATGCCCTTACTGTTTTTACTGGTCAAATGAATCCTGTGTTTTCTGGGCGCCTTTAAACTGAAAATAATGCTTGATGGATCAGTAAAAATAGGTGAAAAAAATGCATCTCTCGAATAACTGTGCTGTCAGCGATGGACTTGGAGTATCCAAGACTTTTCTGGACACTTTTAAACCATGGGTTTCTAGCTTTGAACGGTCAACATTAGCACAGGCATTTTTGCTATTAATGGGGCTCAGTTGGGAATGGTTACTATTGCCAATCCTGCTGAAGCATGAGACATTGAAAAAGCCTTTGTCCACCTTCACAGGAATGAAAGTAGGGCTAGTCGATGGTGTGATTCTGTAGGAACTGATGAGGTTGTTGCTTCCCTAATTGTAGTAGGACTAGCCTTTGTGTTTGTTAGCACACAGTATTATCCCGAAAAGCCTCACTTCAGAGCAGGGTTTGACATACAATCTATGCCCTTCAGAGGCCACTAATCCATATTGTCATCATTATACCTTTAGAGACCATCAGTGCTGGTCAGAAAGTGTTAGCATTCAGCTAGATAAGTTTCATCCGTGGCAATCCTTCCTATTTCTTTGTTGATACGGGATGACATAATGGATGAGGTTTGGATGGACTTCTGGAGATCACCAAGCCCAACCGTCTTTGCTCGAAGTACTGAATATTGGAACAGGTTGCTCAGGACCTTTGTGTCATTGCACAGTTTTATCATGCTTGTAGTTATGATGCTCAGCAGAGTGACTACCCTTGTTGGCTCCTCAGTAACCACTTTTAGGAAGGTATAATCAGTGCACTCCAACAAGCTTCTGGGTTGCTTGTTCCCTGTTGTGTTGCCCTTCTAGGAGATAACAGGGTAGTTCATGTTCCATGGGAGGTCAAGGTGCCTGTAAATGTGAGGCTTCTTCAGTTATATGAACAAGGTCTCGTGTATTTTGTCTTGGTCAGCTGATGAGTAGCAGCCATCAGCCACAGTGTCATCCGTGTTGGTCTGCGCTCTCATCTGTGACCCATAAACTCCCAGCTGTTTCATTGTCAGCTGCAGGGTAGAGCTCCATGTATCCCTACTGCTCTCCCAAATAAAGGGGAGCTTTCCTTTCTCACCATCCCAGACTGTCCTTAAAAAGCCTGTATCCAGCCATGGCAGTAATCTGGTCATGTGAGCTATGCTGCTGTGTCTCAGTGATCCCATCGAGATCCTAGCCCTGCAACTACATGCAGATCACTAACAGCTCCTGCTTGGTTGCTGTGCTGTGTGTCTGTTGGTGTATGGGCACTTCACAGGGGCACCCAGTCGTGCTGATTTGCTACAAAAGGTATTAGAGCTTCCCCCATAATGCCATCCAGCAAGCAGCACTTTATGTATGTACTTGTTGGAGCCCTGGTTTGTTCTGGTTTTTTTTTTTTTTTTTTTTTTTTTTGTTTACGAGGTCTCTCTTGCCTATATCACTCTACCCTTTGCTTGCCAACCTGGTCTGCCACTTCCTCACTTGGCTGTGGGTTGTCATCAACCTTCCCTGATGTTACTGGGGTACTTCTTGTGGATCTGCCACAACCCTCTGCCTGCCAGGAGAAGTCTTTTAGTGGAACTGCTGCTGTGTTGCACCTCCTAGGTGTTTACAGCTGCTACTGTTGTTTTCTTGAGAAATTAAATCTAGCCCTGTGCAGTTTATAATTCCTTAGCATTTCCTTATTCCCCTTTCATCCTCAGAAAGTGCTGTTCTTGTAAGCTTTACGCAGACTTGTGTATCATTCTGGGGTTGTAAGAGGAGATTGCCATACCTGGTTCCTCATGGTTTCACCTGACCAGGTAATTTATTTAACAATAGTGCTAGTGAGGGGGGGTGGAAATCTCTGGTTCCTTTTGCTATTATGGTGTATTAAAATGATTCAAGAAGTTACTGGACAGCCTCTTTGATGTTATTCCTTTCCCTGTGCATGTATTTCCTCACAACCATGCCCTATGCTTTGAAAGATTTTGGTCTCTTTCTCTTTAAGTAAAACCTTCCTTAAGTACTTTTATCCCCTCTTGCTTTGGAGTGTTATAGTGAGCTTCCACTATTATCAGGTCTGGTTCTTTTCCTTTTAGGCTTCTTAAAATTCTCTGGACAGATTCCACTACAGTCTGGATTTCAGAACAAAATATTTGTATTTGGGCTACACAAGGCAATTCTTCCCTTTCCTCCTTTTCCTTGCTTGTCATTCGTCAACAAGCCCATACCTGGGTATCGATGCTTCATAACTGATTTTAAAGTGACAAAGTAAAACTTGTTGGGATCTCTCACATGACTGAACATTTCACCAAGTGTAAATTTTTTCCTCAGAAGAGTAATCCATTTTGTCATGGTTTAAAATCCATGGTCACAATTTGGATAGGCTAATGCGTACTGTTCAGTAGTTTACCTGTGCCTGGGATATTCTCTGCAGCATGCTCTTTTAAATTCTGGTAGCTTTGTATCTTAATTTGTTGCTCCTTCTTTCGGAATAAGCTGTTCTAAAGGACAGCTGTTTTAAAGTGTTTTCTCAAAAATTAAGAGAAATCGGAAATGGGTTTCAGAAGCCACTCTACATCAAGTCTTAGTACTGATGATTTTGCTCTGTCTGAGATTGTGCGGGATGTTGGACAGAGGATTCCATCTTAGGCTGCATGCTGTGGCAGCAGGCGCATTGTCTTGCAGTTGCCACAGTGGGGGAGGATTGAAAGGTTTTCCATCAGTCTTTATTTCAGTGACCTTTTCCAAGTTGGGAATAGCAATTGACTAGGAAAAAGTCATTTCTCTTCAGTGAGTCCATACAGTGTTCTTTTAAGTTCTGTAAGCTGAAAAATAAATTGAAATTGAGAAGGTAATACTTTCTGTTTTCAGAATGCCATTTCTTCAGATCTTTGACTTATTGAGCTTCCCACGCAATACATGCTTGCAAATTATTAAACTGCTGTATGTAAAGACTCCCATGCTTAATGCTTCCAGCAGCTTGCATAAGTGAGGTAGAATAAAAGTTCAAAGTAATGTCAGCATGTGAAATGTTAACAAGTAAAAGCATGATCAGATTCTTTAAATATTCACAGGGACTTAATTTTTATCGTCTGTTTAATGCAGTGACTACATAGTTTTCACAAACTGTGTTTTGCTTATTCTTTCAGGCTGAAGGTTTTGGAACGGATGCTGGAAGATGTTAGCTGTGGATACTGGGGTTGTGGAGGAGTGGTTATCAGAGTTCAAGGTAATAGATTATACTCTCTATATCTATAGATGTTATATCTCTACCTATACATGTTTAGCCAGTTGTGTTTGAATTGCTGCTGGAGCAGTATGCAAGAGCGCTTAATTACTGTAGAAAATTAAGAAAAATAGTAACCTTGGATTTTGCTGAGATAATGTGATAAATGCAAATGTCTGCTTTAAAGGATTTTTTTTCCTTGTCCTCTTCGGAATGACATACTACTTGATACAGAGCAGCAAAAACGTTTATCACAGATGAATGATCTTGTTGGTTTGAGTATGAACTAGACTTGACTATAGATTTTCCTCCTGATCTGCTTAGATACACTGGGAATGTGTTTTCCCATCTGTATAGTGGAGTATGATCTCCTTTGAAGGACTACAGATAAGAAATACTGTAAGAGCTATGAATAGTAAGTTTAAATGTAGAGTTTCCAAAGGGTTGTTAAAAAGATTAGATTTTTGCCCTCCTAAGTACTGGCAGAAAATCTGTTCAGTGTTAGAGAAGAGCCGTTCGTGTCAACTGGAATTTGTGTTCTTTCAGAGTAATACTACATTCTGTAATAATGTTCACTAACTGTGTACAGTCAGTTTTGAGAGAACTCCTTAAAGTATGGATCTGCAAACTGCCAAGTTTCACAGTACTGAAATTTCACAGTGAAATTTCACTGGGATTGTACCTGTGAAACTCCGGGTTTTAATCGGTTTCCCATCCACTGTCATTACGTTCTATATGAAACTGCATAACGATAAAAGGTAGTGTGTTTTCTGGCAATTGTGTTGTCCTGAAAACATGGTGATTTCCATAGTAAAGATTTCTTTGTGAAACAAGTTTTAGTTGATAGTAAAGTCTGATGGAGTAACTCGTAATGGAAAATTGTCGTTGAAATAGCTGTTATATATTCATGACAAAAATTGCTTTTTCTAGTAGTTATTTATATTTCAGACACTGCCAGAAGCATCCATATCCAGCTATGCTACAAATCTGAAAGACAAGAGTGCTTTGATTTCATCACTTTACAAAGTAATTCAGGAGCCACAGAGTGAAGTGAGTATATCAGATCTCTCACATAAAATGTCTGACATAACACCAGCAGAATAAAATAAGTCCTGTGTGCTAGTTAATTGTGTTCTATCTATGTGAAGAGTCTCCGTCAAAATGTTGGCTCTTAGCAATGACATCCTACCATGGAAACGGTAAGTTTTGTAACCTCATGATCATAGGTAAGCTTGTAGATCATGTGTGTGGGCTTTATGACTTGGGTATAGAATTGAGAAATATGTTAAGGAATTGTAAAGATGTTTGAGACTGACAGAATTCTTTCTGTAATTCAGTATCACTTGAATGTGAATCTATAGTTATAAGAAGCTTGTCTATTACAGCTCAAGAGAACAATGTTAGAGAGGTTTGCAATCCTTTTCAGTTATTGCTTAGGTTTTAGGGTTTTTGTTGTTTTAAATACATGCAATATAAATATACGCATTTATATAGTGGATGTACCCTTGATGAAATGATGGCAAAAAAAAAGAAAAAAAAAAAAAACAACTGGGAGGCAAGGGGACAGGTTTTCTCTCTACCTGTGTCAGGAATGGTTTCATTCTCTATGACCGCGGTTGTTTTAAAGTGTCCAGGATAAGTTCAAACATACTGAGCTGGTTTTAGTTGTCTTAACTGTATTGTCTCATTTTCTACCATCCTGCAAACCTTTGTTTATTATTTTAAAATTGCACCAAGTCCTTAATTCCTCTTCTGAAAAGACCCAGTATAAGGATCTTTTCCAAAATGTGAGATGGTGGCAGTAGTGGCCAGAGGATAAAATGCTTTCTGTATACACATTTTTAGTGAGAATGCTGTTTGAGAAACTCCCAGGTTGTCCAGCAAAGTAGAAATATAATTTTACTTTGCTGCTTAGAAAGTCATTCTGAGTGATTTGCACTACCGAGTCAAGCCTGTCTGGTCTTCAGAATGCATATCAACATGTAAATTAATCCGATCAGTCTCCCTGTTGATAGCTAAATTGATACTGTCATATATTCTTTGATTTCTTACTACTTCTGACTACCACTAGATTTCTCAGGGACCTTAGTAGCAGGGTGATCAAGGCCCTGCAAATTTTACTTGAAAAGTTGTTAGGATAATTCTGGATGCAAGGTATCAAAGATTTCCCTGTTAGTGAAGCTTTGAATTGAAATGGAAAGCCAGTGTTGACCCTGAGTGTTGTGTTGCCTTGGGAGAACAGTCCTAAAACCTTTATTTGGACTATTCTCCAAGTACTTGTCGCTTTGTAGAAAGGCCTACTTGGAGCTTTCCACATTGTGAAAATGCTTACAAACCAGCAGTTAAAAATACACGTAATTTATTTCAACTGTTACTTGAGATCTATTAGCTGCATCATTTAATGACAACTTGCTTTACAGTGTAGGATATGTGCTGTCCTTTCCTGCTTCATGTATGTAATGCAAAGGGAGAGGATTCACATGTGAACACTACAAATACTGCTGAGATTAAAACCAACCCCATCTGTATACCTTTGAATATATTTATTTATAATAATTATCTGTACCATAAAATTGTGATTCTTCTCATTTTGGAGGATGGATATGTTCTCTTTTTAAGCATTTGAAAAGTAATCATGTGTATATGCATCTATGACTACATTTTCCTGCTAGTTCATGTTTACTTTTCATATGGGTTTTTTGATGGCTTTCTCAAAAATTTAATAATCAATTTGTGAGATAAGTGAACTACTTGTTTACTATAGCAAATAAATATTGAGTTCACAGTGGCTTTGTTAGTAAAGACTTTGTTAGTTACTTTTGAGGCTCCTGGGCCACTGATCAGTAAAAAATGTAATTCCATAAAAGGAGAGGCTTAAGTAGATAATTTAAAGACCTTTTAATTGACTCAAGAGTCCAACAGTAAAAAAAAAATATTTTTTTTGAGGGTTGTTTCTTCACAAATTCAAGATTGCTTTTTTTTTTGCTTTCTACCTAAAACACTATTGCTGTCCTTTTAGATAGTAGCCGTGCAGGTATTTGCATTAGGAAATAGAAAGTGTTTGGAGTGTCTTAACACATTTGGATGCAGCTTTAAAGTAAGGGGGATGAAACTGCTTGGACATTCTTCTGTTCCAGCATTAAAAATTGTTTCAGTCTAGATACCTTTTAGAAATGTTTTAGTGTAAAACAATATTTTGAAACAGCAATGATCGTTTGTGCATTTTAATATTAGCCTGTAGCACGTGGTGGCATTTTGAGGAAGAAAATGTGTTTTTGTACTGATTATGCATTTAAATATGCTGATATAAAGCTGTCTCAACTGAGATAACGATGTGAACATGGCTACCTGTCATAGTTATTTATGTGCCTTTTAAAGTTCAAGCACATCATTCTGAACTGATACTTCATTAAAGGAAGCGTGCAAATTGTGAGAAATATGGAAAGCGCTTGGGCTGGTAAAATTCTCTAGTAGGATCTTTGATATTCTGCTCTTAAAACTTGACTAGTTTGGGTTGGTATGATATTTTTTTTTGCCTTTGCTGTCGATTTTTCACAAATGATTTTTCCAAAGAGAAGCTGTATCTGTCAGAAGCTAAAAGTTACTGGGTTTTTTTTGTTGTTTTTTGTTGTTGTTGTTGTTGTTGTTTTTTTTTAATTAATCAGATTGGTCCCAAATTACTCCTTTAAAAAGAACCAAAGCCTGCTAAGATCCTTTGGGTTCAGAAGTAACTCTGGGAGGTGAGAAATGTTGACTCAACTTTCTTTGTAGTCAGGAGGAAAAACTTATGTAAGCAAGGATATTTTTTTCTCTAGCATGCTCTTCTGGTGGTGGTGCCTCCTTTCCTGCAATAAAGGGAGGAAAACATAGAAGAATGGGTTTCTTACCTTTTTGAGAGCTTGCTCCATTGAAAAACTGAAGGTGTGACCTAGACAAATAGCAGAACAACTGAGTGTTGTACTTAGAATAAAATGGAAAACATGATCTGCATCTTATTAGCAGTACAGTACATATCTATATTCCAGTTTTTAAGGATTTTCAGAAAGGTGTTGAGTAATACTTTGCATTCTGAAGTACAATGACAATTCAGTGACTATGGTATCTCTTCTCAGTAGAATCTGAAATACTCTAAAATGCACGTCTTGTTTGGATTCCAGAATTTTCAGGTTGAAATTTTTTCAGATTTTGTGCAAGAAAACATTTCACTGAAGGTCTGTTACTAGCCTTGAACATTCATGGTTTTGAAATTAATTTAGGAGCCTGTTTCTGTGAGTCATGTAGATGAACTGTTAAGAAGTTAAATCCTAGAAGTAAGAAACAAGGTAGCAAAACTAGTCCTTTAGGTGTGCTACATTTGAATCCTGTCTTTTGGAGATTTGCAATTGGAGAATGTCACACTTTATGTAATGTTTTTTTTAATATATACTAGCTGGAACTGATAAAATGAACTTTGAACTAAAATGAATAGCTGGCACCTCAGATTTCATTTTATAAAGTTTGCTAATATAAATGCTTCAGCTGCCTAGATTATTTTTCAGGTAACAGTTTCTTAGATGATAGGGTATTTCTAATTGTTATTACTTGCAAATAAATGATTTAGAAGATTTAATAAAGAATTCCCTTTTTCCCTTCCTTACTCTGCTTTTTTTTTTTTTAGAAGAAGAAATCCTTTTTCAGTACCAAACTCTTATCAATAGTTTGCTGTTTGCTGCCAAAGTATTTTTGAGTATGTGCTTTTGAGTTTCTGCTTGAGAGTTCAGTGTCCAGTTCAGCTGACTTTGCAAGTGCCTACTGGTTTTGACAGTATTTTCCACTTGGGTTAGGAAATCTCCTATCTAGGTGACAAAATAAAAATATAACTTCCATACACTGATACATGATGTTTAACACACTTTTATCCTCTAGCAGAGGTAGGTGGTAGCCCAAGAATGCACATTAAATCTAGAAGCACAGTGCAAGCTGATAGCTTAATTTGTTTTAAGTCTTTTTTTTTTTTTAATTGTTCTAGCTCAATGTATTACTTCTATTTATATCAGCTTAACAAATTTGGTTATAAATTATTCCTGAGGCTTCTCATTTCTGTCTCAAACTTATAACTACATTGAAATTTTTATAAGATTTTAATGAGTGGAAAAGTGAACTAGTTTTACTGTTTACTAAGATATTGTAATACTTTGAGTGTTATGGAGCTCTTCTCACTTTGTGGGTAAAAGCTTCTAGCAATTTATGTGTACACTGTTAGAGCTCTGGAATAGCAAGAACTTTTGTTCTGGTAATTTTCTGGTATATTAGAGATATTGAGGGCATGGTATGAAGTGTGATGATAACAAGTATCCTCTATTTATTCCTCTGAGGCTGGAGGAAGTGATCCAGAAATGAGAGAAAAGAGCCATTGGAATTCTTTCTTCACATGGGATGCAAGGCTCTACTTTTATCCTCTGAAAACCTGTTATAAGGCATGAAAAGTTTGTAAGGTGACTTGGGCAGTTGTTTCATCAGTCACTCCCTAGCAGCTAAAATGTGACATTTATCAGTTTACAGTCTTGTCCAAAGGACTAATCCACACAAAGTTGCAGTTTCTTGTAATGTTTTATTCATTCACAATTGTAATTTATATTTCAGCTTCTGGAGCCAGTTTGCCATCAGCTCTTTGAGTTCTATCGCAGTGGTGAGGAACAATTGCTACGATTTACGCTCCAGTTTCTTCCAGAATTGATGTGGTGCTATCTTGCTGTCTCGGCCAGCAGAGATTTACAGAGCAGTGGATGCATAGAAGCTCTTCTCCTAGGCGTTTATAACTTGGTTTGTATTTGCATGTAATTATTCAGGCCTAAAAATATTAGTGTGCTTTTAGGAAATACTATACAGTATTTCACTGGGGAATAATGAACAATTTTATTTCAGAAATAAAATGAAGTGGTTGAGTATCTCAGTTTTGACTCTTCAAATTGGTGTCCTTGTCAGAAATCTGCAACATGAACTTCTGTTGTTTTATTTTGGTGAATATTTTCTCTGTTGTTCTTGTGGTTCCTGAAAAGTGTTAATACACTAATGGCTGAAGGAGCCAAAGGAGTCTTCTTAATTTTTGTTACTTAATTCTTGGTATGGTGATTAAAATTACGTTCTGCTCAAGAGTGTTTGGAGGTACTACTTTTGAAGTAGTTGCCATGTTTTCTAGGATATTTTTACTTTCTTGACTAGAAAAGACAACAAAATCACTTTCAACAAATTCTTAGTACTCGACTGATAAACAGACTGCTTACCTTTGAGAAGTTAAAGGTCTCCTTTCATTTTGTAATAACCTTGACATTTTTTCATACTTTGTGTGAAAAGATACTATTACTAAATTATTGCTTTGAAGAACAGAATTATGAAGGAAACTTTAAGAGCTCCATATTTTAGTCATGCATTTAGTCTTTTTATGGCTATTATAAAAAAACATAGTGTTGTTATGGTCACTAGGATTCTCTTCAGTGTAGTTTGTAGGTTCTGGACGTTTTAGGGAAGTGAGAGTGGTGAACTTCAGGATGCCTCTTCCCATTTTGAAAATCTGCAGAAGGCAGCTCCCATCCTTCTTCTAAAAATAATCTCACTCATACCAAGTGAGTGCAAAACATTTTTCTACCCTGGAGTCTACTTAAAAAGACCTGAGCCCTTATATTCAACTCTTTCTTAAGAAGCGTACAGGCTTCATGTGCTTTCTGTGTGCTTAGTTGTGCTTAAGAAGAAAAATGTTCCTGGAAAGCATTTGGTTATATCTTGTCTCTTAAGTCAATTCATTCTTTTATTTCTATGATGAGGTCATCTGAAATGGTTGATGGATGTAGCTATAATCACTTGTCTTTCTGCTAGAAGAGATTACATTTACAGTTAAGCTTGAAACTGGTCCAGTAACATCTCTTAGCTATGAACAGTTTCTTCCTCAATTAGTAACGTAGCCATCCGTCTCCAGCTGCTTGGGGTCATAAGAATTTTACAACAAGCTTCTGTAGGAAGCTGTAGATGAACCTGATTTTTGAAAACATTCCCTGTTGCTCCCCCCGCCATAAGACACAATGCATACTTATGCTAAAGTAATGCAATGTCACTGATGGTGACTTCTTCTCTCTTGCTGTTGTATAAAATTTGTAACTTAATCAAGATGGTACTGCTCTTCAGTATACAGGTGACCTCCTTAGATACTTATTTTCTCTTTAACCAGCTACTTTGTTTTCAAAAGCAAGAGGAAAGATATAGCCTAATACAAATAGTAACCCTTCAGTAAATATGTACAGTGGTCTCTTGGAGCTTGAGAGAATTAACACACTCAACAGTTCTGCAGTTTCTTACTGAAAGAAATTGAAAAATTAAGTATTGCTCAGAATAATTTTAAATTCTCTAGATTGTCAGGGGTATGGAATTATTGTGGCTGAACCTTGAGATTATGAACTGTTTCATTCTACCTTCAGCTTGGTGACATACAGGGGTAGTGCATGCTGTTGATATTTTTGGCTTTCCTGGCTGTAGGTATCAGTGTTTGTTAATGCACTTCAGATCTTTAAGTGAACACTTGAAACTTTAATTACAAATCTGACTAGAATGAAGAGTGAAAATATTGATATTTTTAGATTTTAAAAGTTTGGATGTAGCCAGTTTCTCTTCCCTTTCCTCCTGTATTTTAAGGAAACTGTTGTCTGCATGGATGCAGAAGCAATATTGAAAATTAAAGTAGCAGTGGTTTATGCAGAGAGTGGAGCTGTATAACTCTTCAGACAGAACAGTTCTGTATGCCTTTCTGATAATTCTCAGACTTCCTTTACTGCTTCCTAGTCTACTTTAAGACAGGAGTTTTAATAATTACTATGTGAAGTTAGTCCTTCAACCTTCCAAGGCACGGGTGTTAGGAGACACTGAAGCTCCTCTCTAATCTCTACTTTTGGATATATGAAATTTGCTGCTGAAGTGTAGACGAAAAAACCCCAAAAGTTCTTGTGTATTTGGTCTTGGTTATTGTTCGGGTCTTCTTTGGAACTTCTAAAGTTTATTTGAATTACTTCAGTGCTCCTCTGTGATACATAGGCATGTCTTTCTTTGCCTTACCCACTTAGTGTAAGTCTTACACTAACTTAAAGGAGTGAGAAGTCTTCTAACATACTGTTATGGTGGTATCTTGTGGGAAAACAGCTTCTCTGTAGTTTTGCATCTGTGCTGCTTTTAACTCTCTGTGTAAGTATGGAATTATCAAACTTGGACTTTTGCAAATACTATGATGTCAAACCATATGAGGCTCCACATTCCAGAGCTATATTTCCAAAACAAATTACTTGTAGAATCATTACTTGATGGGTAAATAGTTTTCAGAATAGAATTATTGAGCATTAACTGTCACAATTAGCAAATAGTGTATAATTGAAAAAAGATAACTCTGTTTAAACATATTGAGATTTCCAGTTAGTGTTTTTAAGGTGAACTATATATGCAAATGCATGTGCTCTTTGCTAAGTCATTTGAATAGTTTTCAGAAACAAGGCAAATGCACTGTGATAGAAAGCAAATACAGAGATAATTTTAGCTTGTAGCTCAGACTGTTACAGTATTCCTATCTGTCCCTATAATAATTTGTTGGCTTTTTTTATCCATTCACCCCCACCCAGCATTTAATGGCTTTGAATGTCTGGTTTCTGTAATACAGTGTAACCATTGGTATCTTCTGTCTTTTTCAGGAGATAGTTGACAAAGAGGGGCATAGCAAAGTGCTGAGTTTCACAATTCCGTCCTTGTCCAAACCTTCAGTCTATCATGAAGTAAGTGACATCTACAGCATAAAATTGTTACTGATCGAGAAAGGCAGTGTGCTTTGGGGGTCGGTCTGTTAGGAATAAAAGTGAAAAGTCATTTTAATGTGTTGCATGATGACATAAGAACATATTTCTCAGTCTTCTGAGCACTACTAACTGGTGTCTGAGTCGTCTTCAAGACTGAATAGTCATAACTCCATATGTCTTTTTTTTTTTTATATTCTGAAGCCATATACCTTATCTGGTGTAAAATAACTTCTCAAATCTAAGACAGCTAAGAGGTCAGATAACCTTAAGCCTGTTGAAATTTTATGTACAAATATGGTGATGCTGATCACTGTTTTCACTGTAGCAAGACTTGGGGTGGACATGTTTTGAATGACCCTTTCTCCTTTAGCCTTCCAGCATTGGCTCCATGGCTCTCACTGAAGGAGCTTTATCACAGCATGGTTTGTCCAGGGTTGTGTACAGTGGACCGCATCCTCAGAGGGAGATGTTAACAGCACAGAACAGGTGAAATTGTGTAATAGGATTTTGCTTGAGAATCACCAATGAATCTTAGTTTTTTAGAATTTTTAATGTAATTATAGACTGAAGGTAGATGGGTGTTTGCAGTATTTTGTGATGGGTTTTTTTATTTTAAACACATGTGAGTGTAGATGCAGAAAGATTAGCAGCACATATTATTACATGAAGAGGAAAAGCTTACAGAATTAGCCTACTCAGTTGTTAATTTTACTGAAATGAAATACCCATTCTGTTGAAATAACTTTTTAAAATTTCTGTGTAAACTTATTTTTTTTCCCAAAATAAAATTGGAAATGTAATTCTAATGTTTCTTGTAAATCCCAGGTTTGAAGTGCTGACTTTCCTTCTGCTCTGTTACAATGCTGCCTTAAGCTACATGCCTGCAGTTTCTCTTCAGTCATTGTGTCAAATTTGTTCAAGGTAATTTCTGTAGGCTGATTACACTTAAAATGACGTTTTTAACTTGAAATGCAAATAGTTTGAACTTCTTTTTTTGGTAAAAAAACCCTCTATGTTCCCAAAAGCTGCTTGTAAACTTGACTTTTTTTCATAAGTGTTTACATCTGCATTATTTGCTTTTAAAGAGTATTCCTTATATAACTTCGGGTTGAGATCTCAAAATGGGGAGGAGGAATATGCTGTTAAGAGAAGTCAAATAAAGGCAACTGTTTGTTTTTAATTAAAGTAGTTGACGTGTTAACTAAATAAAATCAGAAATGTCTTCTAAAAATTTGATAAATTTTGCATTACAAACTTAATAAATGTATTTGCATGTTGTGCAAGTTGAAACTTTCTTGAAATTATAGTAGATCTTGTAACTAGAAATGCATCCATTCTTACAGATACTTTGGATATTTTCAAAATCTGCGGTTACTTCAAAAAGCAAAACACAAAACTCCTAACAAACTCACCTCAGCTTTAATTACAGTGTCTATTTTTGATCCTTTTCCTTTTTCAAAGAGGAAGAACTGGTAGTAAATATGTCTATCTTTGAATTTTTGAAAGTGGCCTTTTGGTTAAGAAAAAAATTAGAATGTTCTTGTTAACCCAAGAGATACATACAACTCAATTACATCAACTTCTTACCAGTCATAGTTCCCATGTTCCTCACACAAAACATGGTAATAGATGCCTGTAAGATTCTCTTCTCAGGAGGTGGGAGTACACTGGAGCACTTGGAAATATTTATAAAAGACTTCACCAGATCTTTGTTAGATATGCTGGTCTAAAATTTAAGGTAGAAAATATTTAGAAGCTCTGGATTGTGGATAGGAGACTGATGTTACTTTTTCTGCTTGATTAGGCTTTGATTATATTTGGGATAATTTTTAAAAAGCCTTCAGAAAACCCTAAGAAAATTACCAGTAGATGCAAACAAGTCTTTCTGCTTCAGAATGTTGAATGTTTGGATACTGAATTATTTCATACTATGCAATTTGACTTTTATCTTAGTTCCTCATTCCCTACTGGTTGTGGCATCCATGTTTCTCTGCTTACTGAAAGTCTTGCCCTGACAGCATTTTAGGGATTCAAGGGAATATGTGTCAAAAGACCAGAATATCTTTCAGTATCCTGTTTGGATGTGGTGCTGACAAAATTCCCTGAAGAATCTATAGAATAACTCCTTTAATTGGTTTGAGCAGTTCTGAATTTAGGTTTCTTTTGGAAGATCTGTATGAAAGCAATCTACAATGAATGTGCTTTCTTCTAGTAAGTCTAATTCAATGTTTATGACTCTTCTAGAGAAGCAAAAGCTTCTAATACTTATTTACAAACGTGAACTGTAAATGTGACAATTGCAGCACAAAATATTTTGTGCTCATCTCAAGTGTTGTAAATCCAGATTTTTTGCATCTGGGCATCTTCAGTTACTAAGCTTCTTATAAGGATATTATCATACGCTGATATTCTAAAGCGAAGCAGTCCAGCTGATGCTGAAGAACTGAAGATTTCTGAGACTAAATCTTCTAATCTATGCTTTGGAGAAGGAAATACTTTGTTTAATGTCATTAAAGGTCATTCCAGAAGTGCAGTAATAGCCATAACTGAATATTTAACTATCCAATATCTTTGATTTCCAGAATGCTTTTTTGGACTACAAGACCTGATGTGAAATTTAGTTCGGAACTAAATTCTAAAGTTAACTTACTGGATTTTAGGATGATTTTATGAATGTGATGCTTCTGGTATCTTTTCTTGAAAACTTGTATGCAACTTCCATATTATATGCAATGATGCTTACGTTTCTATCTGTAATACTAATAGTTGCTATGCTACTTTATTTCCTTAAATACCATTAACTTAATTTTTGTCTGTTCTGCAGCAAATGTGTGGATTCAGCATGGCTTTTACTGATACTTTTTTTCATGTTCCACTGTAGTATAAACTTAACAGGGCTGTCCAGGGTGTCTGTTTTGAACGTTTTGAACACTGCCAGCAGAGGGCATACCCTTCTTCCATAATAAGAAACAGTTTGCTTCAGCACAGGATTGTGATGGATACCTTCCTGTGGGTCTAATGTAGTTAAAATGCATACTAAGTACCTAGCTTTGTAGTGTTATATACAAAGGTTTGCTACATTATTTGCTAATGACAGATGCATGATTTCTTTAGAATTTGTGTCTGTGGATATCCTCGCCAACAAGTGAGAAAGTACAAGGGAGTCAACTGTAGGATTCCTGTTTCATCTGAATTCATGGTGCAAATGCTAACAGGGATTTATTATGCCTTGTAAGTGTTTGGATTTTTTTAATATGCATATAAAATAAAGAAATGTCAGCTTAATTTCTACACTCATTTAGGCATGCTACCTTTGAAATGTTTTATTTCCTAGTGGAGAGATGCTGTGTCTAGCAATAAGGTCCTCAGGAAGATAACATAGTTCAACTAGTTGGCCAAAGTTACTGATGTCATATTGGGGAAAGAGGGCCAGAACAGTACTTGCTAGGTATAACTGCTGGTGTGATAAAGATCTTTTTTAAAAACCTTTTCCAACTGTTGTCTGCTGTCCACGTTTTTGCATGCTTAGTTTTGACATCAGCCTAGTTAAGGAAAAAAGATCTAACCATTTTTTTTCTCTGAAATGCTGATGTCATGTACCCTTTGATAGTCATGTTAATGTGTGAAGCTCTCTTATTAACTGAAATATTTAGACTCGTAACACAGGAATATTCAAAAGTGGAGTAATCTTAAGAGTCCTGTTTGAATTTAAGAATATTTCATGACTAGCCAATCAATAACTAATTGTCATTTTTAAATTGCTCAGGGTAGCCAATGAAAATAAAACTTTCTCTGTAAATGCTACTTCAGAACAAGTTCTCTAAATAGCAGGCTTGCTGCTAATGAACACAAGTAGTTCAACTCCTCTAAATTGACCTCTCAAGGAACACTAAATCTGTGAAGGTTATGTGATCAAGAAGGTTTGTCTGTTGATATAGATGCATATTATTATGTATATATTTACCTTTGTAGTTATAATGGAGAATGGGATCTGGCTCGTAAAGCTATGGATGACATTTTGTATAGAGCACAGCTGGAACTGTATCCAGAACCTCTGTTGGTAGGTATTTCAACATTTTTTTGAGTAGAATTTTTAGTCTAGGAAATCCTTCCTGTGAACATGTATGATGCAACATCATGCCAGGAACCTAAATGCCACAAGGTTTTTGCAGCTGTTTTCATGTGAATAGCTAGATCTATAAGTATACACACACACAGAGGTGTTTTCAATGTACTTAGCTATTTTGCCATCTTCCCTAGTGAACAAGCTGTTTTCAGTGAAACACTTCCAAGTCTTGAAAGCTTAGATGACAGTGCAGAAGCACTCTGAAGTAATAGCCACATCTTTAAGCTAGAAACTTTGTTTTAAGAAGTGGCATGTGTTAGTTCTGAGAGGTAATTGCAACCAGCATTCTTTATAACCTTGCAAAAAGCCAGTGTGCTTTTTGACCTTAAGCTGGACTTGTACACAGTGGTGTTCTTCGAGTAATAAGTATCCCCTGACAGAATTATTCTTCTAAAATTTGTATTCATGTTAAGAACTTAACTGCATCTTCTCTGTTCTAGGTTGCTAATGCAATAAAAGCTTCACTGCCTAAGGGTGCCATGAAATCTAGTAAAGAAGGTACAAGATGCATTCAGGTTGAAATTACACCTACTTCATCCAGAATATCAAGAAACGCTGTGACTAGCATGTCTATCCGAGGGCATAGATGGAAAAGGCATGGTAAGAAACACACTTTGCAATGAATTCTCAACCTTTTACATGCGTTTAAAATAATGTTGAGAAGTTTGTTATTGCACATCTTCATTGCTAGTAAGCAGGCAGCAGTTTGGAGGTTTTTATTTTCTTGACTGATGAATGGGAATCTTAACCCAGTTCAGGTGAAGTATATTCTTTATTTCCTTAATCATTACAAAAATCATTTTTAAAAAGCCAAATCAACACAGAAAAAACCTTTTTGTTATAGGGAGCTGTACAAAATCATTGATTCTTTAGAGGCCAATGTTCTGTTTTCTTCTGAAAAGTAGTTTATAGTACCGGAGGCAAAGCAAATATTTAACAACTTTACCAGAGAACTTCGTCTGTCTTACATTACTTAAATTAAAGCCGTTTTTAAGGATGGGGGATAAATTATTATGGTTTGGGTTTGTGGTTTAACCCTGGCCAGCAACTAAGCACCACACAGCTGCTTACTCCCCTGCAGTGGGATGGAGGAGAGAACTGGAAGGCTAGAAGTGAGAAACTCACGGGCTGAGATAACGGCAGTTTAAAGCCAAAGCCACGCACACAAGCGAAGCAATCCAAGGGATTCATTCCCCACTGCCCCCGGGCAGGCGGGGGCTCAGCCCTCCCCAGGGCAGCCGGGATCCATCGGGCGTGACGGTGGCTTGGGAGGGGAAACGCCATCGCTCCGAACATCCCCCCCTCCCTTCCTCTTCCCCAGCTTTATATGCTGAGCATGACGTCATATGGTGTGGGGTATCCCTTGGGTCACTCGGGGTCAGCTGTCCTGGCTGTGTCCCCTCCCAAATCCTTGTGCCCCCCAGCCTGCTCGCGGGTGGGGTGGGGTGAGGAGCAGAAAAGGCCTTGAGTCTGCATAAGCACGGCTCAGCAGTAATTAAAACATTCCTGTGCTAGCAATACTGTTTTCAGCGCAAATCCAAAGCATAGCCCACATACTAGCTACTGTGAAGAAAATTCACTCCGTCCCAGCCAAAACCAGCACATTTGGGCAAACTAATATAAGGGCTTCTACAAAGTAGAACACAGGTCTGGGCTAAGAAGTAGAAAAAATTATGCTGAATGTACTGCAAAAGGAGAAACATTATATTCTACTTCTTCTAACATATTCAGATGAAGAGAGAGCTACTGGACCACAAATCAAAATTGGCAATGGCTTGTTCTGCTGGGCTTGTAATGCTGATGACAGGCTAAGCGAGTGAGTGGAGATAAGAATGCTCTTTTAATAGGTTCAATAAAGATTTTGAAGTAGTATCATAAAAATTTCTTTATGATGTGTACTGTGTGAGCTTTTGTAGTGTATGGACAGTTTGGTTAGTAAACTATTCCCAAGTTACTTGCCATAAAGGACCAAGAGTTAATTCAGGTAAGTGTTGAGGCAAGTATTTCTAAATATGCTGGTAGGAGATGACTTTTAATGATAGATTTCTGAGCAGTAACAGTACACTCTGGTGGTAGTAATACCAATAGTAAGCTGCTAGAGGGGGGCAAGGGGCAAAGAAAGGTAAAATTACCAAACTTCTTTTCAGTTGATTAAAAACTGTTTAAAACTCAGACAAAGCTGAGGAGCAAAACTTTGGTGTCTTTAGCATGAGTGAGGTCCAGTAGCAAGTCATTACCAAAATCTCAAGACTGCTAAGGACCATTTTAGTCTTTACTTGTTTTCCTTTCTTCAGGCTTCTAGTTTTTAAACAGGATTTATTGACCAGGTACAAGAAAACTGCATGATAGCTCAGCTTTTAAATGGACAAATGACCTCTGAAGCTTGGCAAGTTTGTCAGCTATTATTTTTGCGTGGTTCTGATGCTTGTTCAAATGAGGTGGTGGAGGGGAGCACTGATTATCTATATTGAGTGCTAGTTTATTCAGAGGAATTGAAAGGGTATTAAAATAAATGTTCTCTTTGTCTTTACATTTACAGAAAAATGAAATAAAAACATTACAGAATCAGTATTGGAACCATCCTTATAAGAAGGCAGATTTTTCAGCTAATACAGAAATAATCTATATGTTTTTACAATTACTGCCTTCTTGCAGGGGGTGATTCGTGGAGAAGTTCGAGGAAAAATGGATAGGACAAATGTGCCCTGCAGCAGATAACAGCAAGGTGAAAAGGAAATTAGAATAATAGTAGGACTCATAGAAATGGGCTGAATGCTGTGTTTTATGGGAATCTCATAAACCAAGACAAATTGAGAGAAACAGTGATAATCTAGTTAGTATGACCCAAGCGAGGAGTAGTTTTAGTCTGTGTATAGGGATGAGGATTGAAAGATTAAGGACTTTTACAAAAATGGTCCTGTTAACATTTTGTTTGGCTTACTGGGAAAACATTGGATTTTCCTTGATGGTACAGGATTTAATGAAGAGGAAGAAAATCATTTGGTTTAGGGCAGGCGTGGAGGGGAACTTGCATAGCAGGTTGTGGGAGCAGTCATAAATTGGAAGGCTATGTAAACATTAGGCTAGTTTAAAGGCCAAAACTGAATCTGTGGTATCTTTGATTAACTGACTGACCAATTGTTTTGTTTTAAATGGTAAACGTTCCATGCATATACCATTTCAGCTAATCTCCTCGAAACCTTCATTATGAAACACTAACAAATTGTTGTTTGTGACTTGAAAAGCCTTTTTAAAGTCAGAGTGGATGGTCTCCTGGATTTCAAAGCTCCTAATAACATAATTTAGTGCCCCACAACTCCTGGTGAAAGAAATATATAGAATAGATCTTCAGGGTCAGCATGCAGAAAGAATAACAAGGCTTGTGCTTACAGATACTACTTTGAATTAAAAGAAATACTGGAATTGGTAGAAATCAGATGACAAACCTTGTACCTCCTGACCATTATTTTCTCTCCCACAGAGTAAATGGAAAAAAGGTATTCAGGTGATTTATTTTTGTGCTTCAGTATAATAAAAGAGTTGTACAAATGGATTAGGAAGCTAGAGGAGGCAGCTGAGAAGGTAGTTTGATCCTACACATTTTGTGGACCAGAAGATCTGATGAAGCAAAGTATCCCTTGGGGAAGCAAGGGCAGAAATTTTCAATCACTTGAAGTCAGTTTTGAAAAAAGGTCAACTTAACATCTAATCTTGTTGTGATGCACAACCCCGTAACTCGTTCATTAGAGCTATTACTTAGAAGGACTTGTTTTAAAATCAAATTAGTATTGTCAGTTTGAACTTCTAAGGTAGGTACTTTAGAAGTACTAAAGGTGAAGGTCATTTGCAAAATGGATCCATCTAATAACAAATGGGTAGTATTTATAGAGTCAGTTGATACTAACCACGACTTAACAAATTATTTAGTGCTGTTGAATTGGATTGCCTATAAATGATAAAGCTTAAAAAAAGAGAGCTTTAGCTCTTCTATCTAGCGTTATTTTTTTTGTAGTGTTCATATTTTAAAAACTAGCCTTGAGTAGCATCACCATTTCCATTCACAGAGGAAACCCAGAAAAATCATGCAACATGTAAGGGACGCAAACACCTAGATGAATGGTTATTTATGGAATCTAGGAAGAAAACCAAAGCAAGACCTAGCAACACTTTCCTTACTAATGTAAAATCTGCCGAACTGCCCCAGTAAAGAGTTGCTTGGGAAAAACTCCTGTGTGTAGAGGTAATGCATGTAAGAGAAATACTCTGATGTAACACACCCAATAAGAAGATCTGAGCAGACATTGGTAAGATACATAACACAAAAGCAAAGATATCAACTAGAGAAAGACAAGATGTTACTTTTTTTTCCCCATTGCAGAAATTGACTTTCATATAGTATACAAGGTTTAGAAACATTAGTCTTTGGATCTCTGTGGAGAGAATTTTCTTACTTTTTTTGAAACAGTATTAATTCCTGAAATAGTTACAACTTTTAGGAATCTGGCATGAATATTAATTTGGAGATATAAGCTTGATGCTTTTGTGAATAATTCAAAGTGCTGACATTGTTGCACAGGAAATGCAGCTTGAGCTTGTGGTGGTTAAAGCTGAATTACAGTCCCAAGTGGGCGGTTTGCTTGTGCAATCTGAGGTAAATGATGTAGGCAACCATAATAATAAGATAGGCTATGACTGAAATATCTTTTGAATTAATTCTTAGCAGCTAGTAATCATGAAATGCACTTATCTAGGTTGGTTGTACTATTCGAAGCATTCAGAAATGTGACTCCAAATGCATTTTCCTTCAGCTGCTATGGGCATATTTATATTACCTTCCAAACTGAGATAATTACTCAGTTTTATCTCTACACTATTTAGTAGTGTCCTTTGTTTTCTTGCCTTCTGCACTGGGTATTAATACCTCTTTCTCAAAGGATAGATCCCCAGAGTTGTCCAGCTTGAAGCAGTATTATCTTCAAAACCAAGCACTATGAAGCTGAAGGTTTGTTTTAGATGTTCTTAAAAGTTTTAAAATAAGGAGGGGGTGCTACTATGAAGGACATGGATTGTGTAGTTGTGCCATAAGACTGTAGATGCTATGGTAGACAGTGTTAATAGGAGTTGAGATACTCATTATCCCATTTTTTCATGAATTTCTTCCTGTACTTCAATGTTAAACTCAAATAAAGGTATGTTCCCTTTCATTAGAAGCAGTTAATAGCACTTAACTAGAAGACATAATTACGCTGAGTAAAACTCCAAAGTTCTTTGTTTGGTTGTTCTTTTTGTTTTGTTTGTTTTTCTCCAATTCACTGTGGTAATGGTTACACAGCTATGGGAATGCAGCAATGATGGGTAAAGTGCTGATATTGCAGTAGGATATTACATTTAGAAATGCACACCATCAAACAATAACCAAGTGTGACTGTTATATGAAGTCTGTAGCAAAAAAATTCTTCCTCTGTTCCTCTGATTTCTGCTGCGCACTCTGAGCTTCCTTCCTTTGGAGCTGGATGCTGTTAATTACTGCTTTTCTGCCCTTGGTGGGGAGGGGGTTGACAGTAAGCTCTGTTCTGCCCTCTCCCTTTCTCTGGTGTCCTGTCTGTAAATGAAAATTCTAGCAGAATTTACTTATACATATAGAGATCAGTGGATCCTAGGAAGGAGTTCTAGTGAAATAAGATGCCTGTAGCTGCACTGACGGGGCAGCAGGAAGGAGTTTGAAGATTGCCATAGGAGAGGCACAGGTACCTCTCCTGAGTGAAATTAGAGCAATGAGGCCAATCAGAGCATTGATCTTCTCACTAACTTTTCTGCTCCTATGTTTTTAGAAAAAAAGGCTATATTTGATGATGGTGGTATTATTATTTTTATCATTATTGTTAGTTATTTATTACTATTGCAGTTCACGGTGTTCAGTTCTTACCTTTGTTACCGACAATAGAAGACTTTTGCAGAAACTGCTGTTAGAAGTAACACTTGGCAACAGTTCTAACTTGAGTTTCCTGACAGATATCAGGAAGTGGTGGTTAATAGCAGCAATTATTAATGCTATTTCCTTTGGATAGCACAACTTTTTAAATAGATACTTTCATTAGTAGTTGACTAGTTAGAAAGAATCGTGATACTTGGCATTTCAGACTGACTTCATTGTTGTGATTGCAGACAGCACAAATGCGTAGTGAAAATCCCAGCACTGTAGCCTACTTGACCTAGAAGTACACCGCCCACACAAAGTCCTCAGTGTAGGGACAGGGGCAAGAGAGGATCACCTCTAGCTGAAAAGTAGGATTGCTGCTGCTGTGAAAAATCATCTTGTCATAAGTTCTTCTGGTTGTGGACTTCATACTGTCAGTTAAATGTCTGTACTGCTAACTTGTGTTATGTGCAGTAGCAGACTGGCAGTGTAATCTGGGCAGTCCTTACTTAATCCTCAGGTCTGAAAGAGCTGCATTACGAATAAAACATGGGAATTCATAAAATCACAGAATGGTTTGGGTTGGAAGGGACCTTAAAGCTCACTTAGTCCCAGCCCCCTGCCCCGGGCAGGGCCCCCTTCCCTCAGCCCAGGGGGCTCCCAGCCCCGTCCAACCTGGCCTTGAACCCTTCCAGGGAGGGGGCAGCCACAGCTGCTCTGGGCACCCTGGGCCAGCGCCTCACCCCCTGCACAGGGAAGAATTTCTTCCTTACTTCTAATCTAAATCTGCTCTGTTTCAGTTTAAAACTGTTACCCCTTGTCCTATTCCTATACTCCCTGATTAAGTCCCTCCCTACCTTCCCTATAGGCCCCCTTTAAGCACTGGCAGGCTGCTATAAGGTCTCCCCGGAGCCTTCTCTTCTCCAGGCTGAGCAACCCCAACTCTCTCAGCCTGACCTCACAGGGGAGGTGCTCCAGCCCCCTGATCTGATCTTCTTCACGGCCTCGTCTGGACCCACTCCAACAGGTCCATGTCCTTGTTATGCTGGGGACTCCAGAGCTGGACCCAGCACTGCAGGTGGGGTCTCACAAGAGTGGAGTAGAGGGGGAGAATCCCCTCCCTGGACCTGCTGGCCACACTGCTCTTGATGCAGCCCAGGACACGGGTGGCTTTCTGGGCTGTGAGCACACATTGCTGGCTCACAGTCGCTTTTCCAGCCACTAATACCCCCAAGTCCTTCTCTGCAGTGCTGCTCCCGACCCACTCCTCGCCCAGCCTGGATTTGTGTTTGGGATTGCCCCGACCCACGGGCAGGACCTTGCACTTGGCCTTGTTGAACTCCATGAGGTTCACACAGCCCCACCTCTCCAGCCTGTCCAGGCCCCTCTGGATGCATCCCTGCCCTCCAGCACGGCGACCGCACCGCACAGCTCGGGGTCACCAGCAAACTTGCTGAGGGTGCACTCAGTCCCACTGTCCGTGTCGCCGACAATGATGTTAAACATCATCAGTGCCAACACCAACCCCTGAGGAATGTCACTCATCACTGCTCCCCACTTGGCCATCAAGCTGTTGACCACAACTCCGAGTGCAACCATCCAGCCAATTCCTTATTCACCAAGTGGTCCATCCATCAAATCCACGTTTCTCCAATTTAGAGAGAAGGGTGTCGTGTGGGACAGTGTTAAATGCCTTGCACAAGTCCAGGCAGACGATGTCAGTTGCTCTTCCCTTAACCACCAGCGCTGTAACCCTGTCACAGGCAGCCACAAAATTCATCACGCACAATTCGCCCTTAGTGAAGCCGTGTTGGCTGCCACCAATCACCTCCTGATTTTCCACGAGCGCTAGCATAGTTTCCAGGAGGATTTTCTCCATCATCTTTCCGGGCACAGAGGTGAGACTGACTGACCTGTAGTTCCCCAGGTCTTCCTTTTTTTTTTTTTTTTTCCCTTTTTAAAAGTGGGGGTTATGTTTCCCCTTTTCCAGTCAGTGGGAACTTCACCAGACTGCCACAACTTCTCAAATATGATGGGTAGTGGCTTAGCCACTTCATCTGCCAGTTCCTTCAAGACCTGCAGCTGCATCTCATCAGGTCCCATGGACTTGTGCACCCTGAGGTTCTTTAGATGGTCTTGCACCTGATTTTCTCCTAAAGTGGGTGGTTCATCATTCTCCTAGTCCCTGCCTTTGCCTTCTGCATCTTGGGCGGTGCGGCTGGAGCACTTGCCAGTGAAGACCGATTCCAAGAGTTCATCTTTCTCAAACCTGTCTGCATCTAATGTAGACAGGCATCTTTTGGATTGGGATTTGTTTTACCAGGACCTTGTAAGACCTATTGCATCCTTATCACTAAATATCATTATTAAATCTCCTGTGCTTACATACAACCATCATTCTCACACTTTGAGTAGCAGTGGAGTTTTCTGTTTGCTTGGGGATTTTTGGATATGTCTGCAGAATCTTTGACTGTCTTGAAATAATTTTTTGGCCAGGCTGATCACTTGTGTATTTGCTATTGATGACTTACCCAGATGAAAAGAAGTAATATTAGAACCAAGCCGCATTGGTTTTTTACTTTAATTTCTTTTTTATTTTCCTTTTTTTTTTTTCTTCCCTCCTCCCCACCCCAGTGCTGCAGAAAGTTGTGGTGCTTTTCCCTCCCCCAACTTAATCTCCGTTTTCTCAGCTGTACTTCTTTGTGTCACATGAGTCAGTTACGAAGTTTATTGCAAACTAATTTACTTGTAATCTTGTGTAAAAAGCTTTAAAAGGATGAGGAGATAAGCATTTCTGTGATATTAGTATGTGGCAAAAACTGCAGTATAACTCCGTAGGTTTTATTTGAGTAAGTTTATTTTAGTAACTGCAGAATTTTCCTGCTTGTAAATATCTTCTGGTTGAAAATAGTTTTTTGAAATGAAGAAAGAAAATGGAAGCTAAAGTGTGCTTGAGTTAGATTAGCTGTTTCACTATTAGTTTTTCAGGTTTGACCACTGTGCAACATCATGATATTTTATGTGTAGAATTTCTAGTTTTATGTGATAACACATGAATTTGGTATGTCATTTGATTGTAAAAATGACTTTCACTTTAGCATGGTGATGCAGAGAATCTGGTCATAAAAGTGAATTATGGGAAGTTCTTTTATTTCTGATAATCTCTGAATGTTTGTTTCGCGGTCCTCAGAAATTTCAATTTTGAAAGATCAAGCGCGGGGCTTTCCAGTATGTGTGTGCAAGCCAATAACTGGAAGATTGAAGCCTGCAATTTAGAAATAAGACAAAATTCCATACTTGCTAATGTTGCTAATTAACAAGAGTTTAATATGTGAACATCTGCTTTAATTTATAATGCTTTAGTCATCTGTATCTATTGGCTTTTGTTTCATGTTTTGTTTCAGACATCTTTTGTTGTTTGTTTGTTTGTTTGTTTTTTTTTTCTTATCCATCTTTAATTCTAGAACAACCAGAGAGTGGTAATGATGCTACTGAATTGGGCAACTTTATCATACCTGAGATTAGTGTCACAAGTGTGGCTGGAGAGAGGACCGGGAATGGGGAAAAGAGCAGAGCACTAGCAGAGAATGATGTTCAGCATTTACAGGGAGTACAGGAAACAGCTACAGATCCTAGAACTGACAGCAAAGGCATGCCAGAAATCAGGAGGCAAAAATCTGTAAGAAAAATGATGGAGGATGGAATAAACTCATCTGGCAGAGTGCAGTTTTAGCAGAGCACTTGTAGCTGCACTCTAAGGTACCACTATTGATTGAAAGGGTCACTGCTGCATGTTTGGAGAATTAAAAGTATGCAGTTAATGTATTTGCATGTGTAATATAACACAAATGCATGTATTGCACACAGCTTTGTCTGTGCCACAGACAATGATGACACAAAAATAGATTTATTTAATCTGGAGAAAATATATTGTGAGACTTAACGTACCTTTGAGTTTAATAAGCATATTTATTGGGTTTACAAAATCCAGTGATCAATGGTGTGAAAAATCCATCAAAATTGATGTGAAAAGTATCCCATTGTGTACCTCAGATTTCCCAAATTCCACCTTTCACGGTATACTGGAGATCTCACGTGCTTGAGTTTTCAACTCATGCCACCAGACTGATGATGCAGAAGGTGACCTTTCAGTCCTAAAGCATTCTTGGGATGCTAAATGTGCAGGTGCCATATTGGGTGTCCTGGGGCATTGATCACATACCTTCATAATTAACGAGCTTTGCAAAATCATGTATTGGAGCACTTGCTCAAAATAAGATTTAGATTTTTTTTTTGTTGTTCTGTGTGGTATCTTCTAATCTGTAAATTTCTAATCTCCTGCATGAATTAACAAGACTGCTTTTTTTTTGTTGTTGGTTTTTGTTTTCAAAATCACTACAAAATGAGATTGTGGGCATGCTTTTTGATCTAGTTAATGCAGCATTACTTGCTGTAACTTTATATCCTAACGAACCTTAATTCCAAAATGTAATGGAATAGGTAAGTGTTTTGTCTTCTGTTCTCTGTTCTGTTGCTGTATGGCTTCATGCTTGTAAATATCAAAATCTAGCAATACATAAAATGAATAAATGTGATGAAGTCAGTTGCTAATTCTTTATTTCTTTTTTTACCATGCAGGTAATACTGATTTAGCAATTCAAGAAGAACTGATAGAAGTATCTGAAACTGATGAAGGGTTTTACTCTAGGGCTACTTCTAGTACAAGTCAGTCTGCTCTATCTAACAGCAGCAACGTGAGCAGTAAGAATCTTTTAGGGAAGAGCCAACGAAGGTCTGGAGGAAGCAAAGCTGGAGGAAAAGAAAAAGAAGGAGAAACCTGCAGAGAACACTTGTCACGAAAACAAACTCAGAGAGCCATGAGTGAGAATCTAGAGCTTGTCTCTCTGAAGAGGCTGACACTGACAACTAGCCAGTCCCTGCCTAAGCCTGGCAGCCATAGTCTGGCCAGAACGACCACTACTGTGTTTAGTAAATCCTTTGAACAGGTCAGTGGTGTCACAGTTCCAAACAATCGTGGTGGTGTATCTGGTACAGAGGCAAACAGGTTTTCAGCTTGCAGTCTTCAGGAGGAAAAACTGATATATGGAACAGAAAGAACAGATCTTCCGATTTTAAGCAAACAACCTAATCAGCAGCGACCTCCTAGTATTAGCATAACTTTGTCAACAGATTGATATTGAATTGGCAAGTATGAAAAATAAAATATTGAGGGTTTATGCTGATACTGGTACATTGGAACATTAATATGCTGTACATTACTTTCTTAAACCTCAAGCCCATAAATTCTTATTTGGCTCACGTTTGACAGTAATAGTGAATAGACAACAGTTGTAATTGTTTTACATCAACTTCTAGTAGCTTGGAAAGTTCCTCTTTGACTTACTATATTTATACACCTCATTGTTTATGGCTTATGTGAAGTTTACAGTTTCACCAGTTTAATAAGCATTGATTGGCTGTTTAGCCACTGACCAAGACGTGGCTTTTTACAAATGCACACTATGGGAACAAATAGATCCTCTTTCCCAGATTCTGCTTTTTCGCTACCATTTGACATAGGCAAACCTGCAAGTACTTGTTTTATTTAAGACGAGTCTTGCAGTATTGGCATGAAATTTTGCAACAGCATTGTAAGAACAAACATTCTTTTATGTTAACCTTACATATAAGCACAGATTTCTCATGGCTAAAACTAGAAGCATCAGTTCAGTGATGCTATGGCGGTTTTTGTCATGGTAGTTAGTACACGTTGCAGTGTTCATACTTTCTTATGCCTACATGAGTCTGAATTATAGATGCATTTTAGTTTTTCTACATGTCTTTTAACCTGGGCCAAAAGTCACACAGAAGCAGTACTTGCGGATGGGATTTCCTACCAGTTGCTAGGGTAGTCACTCTTTAGACTTATAAACTGCATGACAGATTCTTAAATGTCAGGCATAAAGCTACTCGTTGACAAGTTGCTGTCATCAGTAGTTTTATTATTTGTGGGGAAGAGATGTGCTTATGTAACAAAGTTATGTAGGAAATAAGGTATGAGCCCTCTGCACTGACTCAAGCAAATCAGGAGTGTGAATGTGTTTAACATGAACTTGTTACTTGAGACTAAGAATACTACCAAAGGATGTGTACTTTCAGTAACTTGCAAGCGCAAAGGGAATTTATAATGTAAATATAACTAGCACTGTAATTCCTAGTCTTTATGTCTTATTTTTCTAGTCTGAAATTCTAAACCAGCAGCCTGTTCAAGGTTACCTACCCTTTAACCTTCAGTTAGTTTGGTGACCTTGTTTAATACCAACTTTTAAAGCATTAAGATTTTAATTAAAAATGGGCATTAAAACTTTTATGCAGAAACCTGGAGAAGCAGTAGCTGATAAAACCACTTCAGTAGCAGTGATTAGCTGCGGATAAACAGACAATATATTCTAATGACTGGAGAAGAAGGATGAAGGTCTAAGGCAGTCATTCCCAGCTGTCCAGATTTCTGCAGCTAGTGATCCCTTATTGTTTAGAACCTTGTAACAAAACAAACACTAAAATTCTGGTAGACTTTCCTGTTAGCCTGGAGATAAGTTTAGATATCCCTTTTTGACTTAAACTGAAGCACAAGTAACTTCTAAGCAGCTAGTGTTGTTTAGGTTTATAGCAATTAATAAACGGGATAATGAAAACAGATGAGGAAACATAGTTGATAGAGACAAGTAAGTTGTATAATTCTACTTCCAAGACTGCAGACTAGATGTGTACACTTCTTAATATTCACCAAAGTATGTGGAAGAGCTGCATTGGTCTGCGGATATCTGTCTTCACCTAAGAGCCTGAGTTTGAACGAATGTGCCGCACTTTTTCATTCTTCAGTTTGTTGTGTGACACTGTTCTATTCTACTAATGTGGTGTTTCACCTTTTTGCGGTGAAGTGTTCCCTTAATTGTACATGAAAACTTACATTCCTAATGTATAAACTACAGGTTTGTCCTGTTTAGTGTTTAATACTTTGGCCAGTGAAATAAACTGGTTTTTTGAAGTTGTATGTTTTTGTAAATACATTGTACAGCTGAAAGTTTTGCCACTTTTTTACAGGTTTTTCTGCAATACACATTAGACAGCACATTTGTTTCAGACTGACTAATACACGTGGCTGCTGGAGCATCCATAGCCACAACCAATGGAAGGGTTCTAGGCAACTGATAGCAGACATTGGCTAGCACTACACACACTGAATGTAGAGCTCTTCCTTTGCTTGAAATTTGTTCTAGATGTTACAAAGAAATAACTTACAGCTGCCTCCTGATCTGCTCTGCAGTGCAGCATTTAGAAATACTTTGGAAACATTTTACAGTAATTTACATTGAAACATGAACTAGAATAGATAAATTGCAGTTGACAAATGTTTGTTGTGATGGTATTAATTGTGAGTTAGTGTTAAGGGACTAGAATTTTTAAGTAATTCTACTGGTTTTATTTGGTTTCATTTAGTTCACGATTGTTTATCTCCACCACTCTTTCAAGCTGGGTGTTGGTATAGAATGTTTATTACACTGGGCAGATTTCACCACTTTAGTTATAAACAATTAGAATTTCAAATGATCTAAAATGCCATAAAATGTAGATATGTAACATAATATTTACAATACTGTTGGCTACAAGTCTGTGTTAAAGTGAAATTAGTTTATCCTTTTATTTTATCCAGCTAATTATTCTAACTGTGGTCTGGCTTGAACCCAAGACATAGGCTCATATTGGCACAACTGAACTTACAGGAAGGTTTGTACTTTTTTGAGAAAATGGTAAAAGGAAAGGCTCTTGGTAGTAAAGGCTGCTGTTTCTATACATATATGGCTTCATATAAATATCTATGTATTGGTCTCTGGAACAACTTACACAATGAGCATGCTTTTGTGAACTGACATCACACCTTGATACTGATAGAGTTTAAAGAATTTCTTTCCAGATGTGAGGAGTAAAACTTTCAGTTGTGCTTCTTTTCTTAAAAATGGAAAAGGAAAAGAAAAAGCAAAAAACAGCATAGGGGAAAGGGGGGTTGGAATTATTGTCTAAATATCCATGGTGCAGGATTTGGGGGGGGGTGGGGAGGAGAAGAAAGGGGGGAGGTTGGGTAAGAGTCATATATTAATTCTTTCATGATATCTCTAAAATTGTTAAGCTCTTGGATTTTGACCATTATCTGATTGCTTTAGACTGATGAATGAAAAATGTGTATTAAAGAAGCAGAGGTCTTCTAACAGCATAAGGAAAACCTATTAAGACATCCTGTATTGTAGTCTACCCGGGAGTGGGTAGTTCTAATGAATACACTCCAAACATCATACATGGCTGCAACATTCTGCAGGGAAAAATGTTATGTAGGAGTGAATCATCTCAAATTATAATAAGATAAATTGTTTTAATGCTGACATTTATAACTGACCTTACTGTTTTAAATCAAAGGGCACTTTTGCCAATGATGGCTTTGAACTGCAACACTTTCAAAACTCTGAAGCTGAGAAGAATTATTTTTGTTGTGAGAATCTGGAACGCTTGTGCAAAAAGCGTATGGCCTCTAACCACTTGCTGTAAAGCTGCAGTGACTTTTCTGGAGTGAGTGAAATGTCCTTGAATTGCCTTGAATACCTGACAGATTTGACAGGTGCAGAATCGTATAGCTATTTTAGCCACACTTCTCTCTAAGGAGGTCTTACCTGATTTCTATGAGGATTCTAGAAATTTCTAACTTAATTATTATGTCTTGATATCTTTTGTCAGTGTTTGATGCTTACAGTGCTGTATATAGGTGTGTAATATATTGCCTTTTGTATTTCTATAATTCTACTACTAAGACTAGATGTGTACACTTCTTAATATTCACCAAAGTCTGTGGAATAGCTGATCAGTCTATAGATGTCTGTCTTCACCTGAGAACCTGAGTTGAAATGAATGTGCCACACTTTCTCGTATTCTTCAGTTTGTGGTGTGACACTGTTCTGTGTTTTAGTAATGCAGTGTTTCACCTTTTTCACAGTGAAGTGTTCTCTTAATTGTACATGAAAACTTACATTCCTAATGTAAAAACCACAAGGATGTCTTGTTTAGTGTTTAATAATTTGGGCAGTAAAATAAACTGTTGGGTTTTTTTTGAAGTTGTACACTTTTGTAAATGCTTTGCATAGCAGAAAATTTCACCTCTTCTTTACAGGCTTTGTTGAAATACACATTAGATAGATAGCAGTATATTTGTTCGGTTTTCATTGTACGCATCTAGAAGTCACAGTAAGGTTGACTACTTTACTTAAAATGTGCTGGATACCTATTTTCCAGAGCATAGGCTCTGCCTTGTCAGGTAAGACACCATGTCTAAATCACTTGGCTGAGAAATACTGACTGACAGGTGAAAGGTGAGTTCAAGCAGATGAGTTGTAAACTGGTTGTTGGCAGGAGGAGATGACTGTCCTGTCAGTAATGTAGCACTACTTGGTGGTTTTGATGGTGTTAATATAACTGGTCTGATAAACGGCCGTTATCTGCAAGGTGTCTTTATTAGAACTTCTGTCCAGCAATCTTCACTGTGTTTCTGTGACCTGCTGTTGGCCATCTTTGGTGCAAGGGCACGTGTGGCTGGTTTGTGTTCTCCTGGTTCATGGAGACCCCCAGGGCTTTTTCTGCAAAGCTGCTTTCCAGCCGTCTGGCCCCTGTGTGTGCTGGTGCCTGGGGTGGTTTGTCCCTGGGGCAGGGCTTGGCATTGCCTTTTAAGTGTCCTGAGATTCACGTGTCTGCTCATGTCTCCTGCCTGTTGATGTCGTTGTGAATGGCAGCATCCCTCCAGGGTACCAGGCTTTCTGCCTGGTTTTGTGTTGTCTGCAAATGTGCTGAGGGTGAGCTCTGTCCCATCACCCTTCTTCATTAACGAAGATGTTAAATTGCCCTGGCCTGGGTATTGACCCCTGGTGTACACCAGTAAGGCCAGATCTCCAGCTGGGCTTTATGCCACTGGTCACAACCCTTTGAGCCTGAGGGCTGTTCTTGCTGGTACCAACAGAGGCAAAGGTGGCAGTGAGTACCTCGGCCTTTTCCGTATCTCCTGTCAGCAAGTCCTCTGCCCCACTCAGCTGTGGAGCCCCATTTTTCCCCAGTCTTCCTGTTGCTGATGGTATCTCTGCCAAATTTTTTTTTGTTTCCCTTCACCTCCCTTGCCAGATTCCACTTCATTTGGGCTTTGGCTTTCCTATCCCAACCTGTGCATACTTGGGTAGTGCATCTATAACCCTCCTAAGTCCCCTGCTCTTGCTTCCACCTCTTGTACGCTCTCTTTCATGTCTAAGTTTAATCAAGAGCTCCTTGTTCATGCGTCCAGGCCTCCTGCTGCCTCTGCTTGATTTTCTGTGTGTTGGGATGGACCTTTCTTGAGCCCAGAGGAGATGGTTCTTGAACATCAACCAGCTCTCCTGGGCCCTTCTTCTCTCTAGGATGGTCTCCCATGGGCATCTACTGAGCAGATTCTGTGAAGGAGACAAGTCCTGGTCTTCTGTAGGTCCAGGGTTGTGATCCTGTATTTTGTTCAAGGTTCTGTTCCTTTCCCCTTAGGAATGTAGTCTCTAATGCAATGCTGTCAAGCAGCCTGGATGAATGGAGGAGCTGTAATAGATGGCAGCAGTGGGAGATCTCACTGTGCATTTTTTCACTTTTTTCAATTGTCAGTCTCTAACCAGTTCTTTTGAATGGGCAAAACTATTTCCCTCCGTACAAATGGTTAAGAAAATATCAGATTCCTAGCATTTCACTTGAACAAGCCAGAAGTTTTCTTTTTCAGAAGGTACAAATTAGACTTGATGCTGTGATTGTCCTGTGAGTGTGTAAGATTTGCTATTTCAGTTACAGTGAGCGAAAGGCAGTGCTTAGAATGGGCTCTTACATGGATTCAGGTCAGAATTGTTAATGATTAGTGAAAGACAATGTGAATTTGAATACCTCCTCTCTTCCCAAAATGTGGTAGGGAGTACAAAAGAAAGTACTGGTACCCCAAAATACAGCCCTTAATGGAAGATGAGCGTACCTGAGAGCTTGTAGACAGTTTGCCATAGGAGGGATGTCTGAAGGCGATACAAGCAATTAGTAACCAGTTTACAGAAATTACATTTGTTTCTACAGACTTTACAGCTAGTAGCCTGCATTGAGCTTGTAATAATTTTTCATGTTTTATGTTAATCTAGCTCTGTATTAAATATGACTGCAGAATTAGTGTTTTCTCCCAACCCACAGCTGCCAGGTAATAAATATATTTGCTAATTTAGGATTGTGGGGAGAATGTCACCATAACTCCAGAAATCTTTATGAAACAAACCTTTACACTGCATGCTGCTCGCTTCGTTAACTTGATTCCTAAAACGAGGTTGTGTTTAATCATCTGTTACTCTAAACGTGCTGGGACAGTACTGAAATATAATGGTGCAGAAAGACTTGTGTAAGTTAGTCTGAGTCACGCTGTAGTTCTGACAAGCTGCCTCGTTGTTGTTCTCATCATTATTGCTGACTAATACTGGCAGTCCGCTATGTAGAGTTTCTTGGTCTGGGCTATGATGGTGGATTTTTTTCTAGTGGGAGAGGATAGATTTCAGAGGAGGTGAGAAGAAATACCATCTTTTACCTCCACAACACGCAAGAAAGTAAATGGAGTGTCTGGTATTGGCACAAGAAGTCCTCAGTGTGGATATGATTTTTTTTCCGATGTTTCTGCAGTACAAATAGTGAACCAAAATAATGAACGAACATTCAGTGCTTTCTCTGAAAAGATACTCTGCTTGTGCATGCAATTTGAATATCATTTTTGATTCCTATCAAAGCAGGAACAGAACAGTGATTCATTTAAAACATACACAGAAAAACATGTGTGTTATATACGTGTGCATTCACATTTATACGTATATGCACATATATATGGTTTCCTCTTCAGCTAGTCAAGGTATGGATGTTGTAGAACTGTTGGGGAGAGTAATGGAGCTGGCAAAGACTTGGAGCAGCACTAGATGTCAATGATCTGTGATCTAAAAGAAAGGTAGCTGGGCATTAAAAAGCTGTACTGTCACTGGTGTATTTTCCTTGTGGCATTATGTGCCAAGAGTAAATTGATTTGAATATAAATGATAAAGGATCTTGCACTTATTCCTTAAATATGTTTTTAAAAAAATACAGTATTTTTTCTTTTGTTGTTAAAATGCATTGTGGCTTCATTATTGTTAATAACCTGCAATTCAGACTCTGCTAATAATTCAGATTGAGGAATTGAATTGGGATAACGTTACATACAATACCATTTTGAAATCAAGTGCAAGCCAACTGTCATACTGAATGTCAGCTTTCAGCAGACTGTCCTGCCCCTAAAATGCTGGTGTTTAGCAAATCTGCTGTAGTAAATCCCCAAATTGAAAGACTTCTGTAAGGTAACAGCACTGATATGCCCCAGAAGATTGTTTACTTGTTTGTTCATTGGGATTTATATTCCTCATTTCCGCCATTAAAGAAAACCAACCCAACTGCTGTTTAGCTGAGCCCTGGATTGACTGGAGAAAGGTACAGGCACTGTCAAACTGATTCAGCACATCCTGAGAGAGGGAGATTCCCTCTGACACCCAGAAAGTGTTCATCCCATCTCTCACTTCCTTCTCATCCTGGACAACCAGCTTAGCATCGCTGCCTCGTTACTGCTTCCTACTGAACTCAATCTGTACACCCCCCTTCTTGCTGCATAAAGCCGAAATAAGCTTTAGCACAACATCAGTCACTTCAGCACAGCTCCAAATGTCAGCAGCTGTCCTACTTTAACTAAAGGCCTTACGAGCAGGCAGATGTCTAGAAAGAATAGATCTGATTTAGTAGTTCTGCCGGCCAGGATACACGGATCAGCTTGAAATAATGAGGACAGGTGCTGGGAGATAAGATTCAAACTGTATCTGTTCGGATTATTTTGAGTATTCATGAAGTAGTTGCATTCCTAAATGTCTAAAGCAGGGAAGCAGGAAAGAACTGGAGCACAAATCTCTCTATAGCAGTCCTGTTTCTGCCATTCTTTCTTCAGAATCTCACTTAAAAGTGTGTAATAACTTTATCAGCTTTTGAATTTAAAGGTAGAAGTGAGGCTGTTAAAGCTTCCTGACAGCTGAATGATACCTCTTCAGCTCTAGCTGAATCCTCTGTCAAAAAATGAGACTTGGTTCTTAATTATTCAGCCTGGGAAGGAGCTTCTCCACTGCCTCGCATACTGCATCAAATTCATAACTCGAAGCTTCTCTGATGACCCATGAGAACTCACTTTTTCCTGCTACCAGCGTGGGGAGCCACGCTACCAAAAGCATTGCTCTTGTTTCAGGTGTTCAAGTCTGCCCCCCAGCTCAGTGAAGGGCCGGGGAGGGATTTTCGTCACGTCTTCAGTCTTTGCCCACACGAGATGTGTCTACAACGCCGCCGGCCTTGCGCCGAGGCGTTCACACGGCAGCCAGTCCTACGTGTGGCCGTAGGAGCGAGGCGGAGGCCAGCCCCAACTGGGGAGCTTTTCCAGTACTCGGCCTTTGCGTGGGCAGCCCCTCTGCGGTGTGGAATGGCAGGAGGCGGGATCCGCTCCCGAACGGCTGGCTGGAGGTGCAGCTTCAGAAGTCTTGACTGGACACTGTTGCGTCCAAGCAGTGCTTCAGCTGCCGGTCTCCCAAAACACTGCAGTCCAGCTTCTAAATGGATCAGTCCACTGCTTTGGCATCATTACCCAAAATAAAATGTGCTTGTGAACAAATAACTTGAAGAAATTATTAAGCAATTAATTTCTCCAATATCCCACACTGTATGATCCATCTTTTTCATAAAGCCTGGCATGCATGATACATACTGCAGCATGATACGTGTGCTGTGTTCTTGATGGATGACAGAGGGTTTTTGTACCTTAGGAGCAGTAGTGGATAAAAAGCTTAGTGATGCTTGTGAACACGAAGAGTTTTGACGTGTTCTGGTAATGGTGAGATGAGTAACTTCTTAAATATGCCAACTAAATTAGTTACTAGATAGATCCACTTAAAAGGTATTTGATGCCATAATTTAATTTCGAGCAGAAAAGCAGCACCTTGGAAGAATCTTTATTCGATTTTAAGATACTGAGCAC